TATATATGTGTGTGTATTTATACATACATAATAAATAAACACAGTACACATACATATATTATGTAAACAAAAACTTTTATTTTAGATGCGATTAATCGCGATTAATTGTTTGGCAGCACTAATATACACACACACACACACACACACACACACATATATATATATATAGTACAATTTAAGTACAAATAAAATAAAAATGAAAACTATAACACTATAAATAATACCAAAATAACATGGTTTCCAATTAGTTGTATTTATAAAGTCAGTTTTCCTCAAGTTTAAGTAACAGCAAGTTTTACTGTTTTGTTATTAGTGTGTAGTGTGGCTAATTAATTTACCAAAAATGTGGCTTTACTGTAGTTGAACTATTTTAAATTATAAGTAGCTTTTAGCTTGGCAAGCTACAGCTTCAAAGTAGCTTCCCCAACACTGCATGACACTCACTTTTCCATCAAACCCAGTCAGAGCAGGGCAGTTGATAACTGCCGCACCATATAATTTCCTCTCCACAAACCAGGTGGGGCCTGTAATTCATTTCTCCATGAGTAATTGCTCTTTAAGAGCTGCTTCAAGCAATATTAGAAACCCCAAGCCTGGCCACACCCTGGTCCTGGATGCGTTTCACTTGCAATATTCATCCAGGACACACATGAAAGGAATCGAGTCCAGGCCTGGCCAAGCCTGGTTTGAATGGTTAGCATGATGCTAGCTGACACATAGACCTCACATAGTCCTCACACGCTCACACACACACTACATATACTAAAAGACACGGCAGTAATGGGATGGACCGGAAGCTGAACAAAAAGGTTTAGAGGCTCAGAATGAAATAGACAGACAGATGCCGTCAAACAGGAAAAGAGGTGAGAAAGGAGAGAAGATGAGGTACCTCTGCAGCAGAAATAGCCAGGAGTGACCGTCACTGAGAGACACAAGAGACAACGTGAAAACACGCATTCACACCATCCCACAGAAAGAGTCACATACGCACACTCACGTTCTGTTGAAAGGGATAGTTCACCCAAAAATTTGGTTATCACTTACTCGCCTTCAATTCGTTCCAAACATGTACTAATGAAAAATTTAGCAGATGTCAATCACCTCAAATTGATTGACATTAAATCTAGCGTTCCTCATTTACTTGCATTGCATACAAAAGAGCAGCTTAAACATTCTTCAAAATATCTTCTTTTATGTTTCACAAAAAAAAAAAAGAGTCATACATGTTTAGAACCACATTTTGAATTTGAATTTTTGGGTGAACTTTTCTGTTAAGACCTCTTGCTTGGCAGCAAAAGGGAATAAACTGTCTACAAACACCATTTTTGGAATATAAATATGCATTAAGTATCTCAAATCAATATGCAGGAAGTGATGTAAACAACTGAGCCAGAATTCTCAAAGCGCAATTGATCGATTATGAGCTCCAGGCGTGAGGGTCGGGGCTGATTAGATCAGTGTCACGGTCAGCAAAGCACAGCAAAGACATGAGGTCAAGCAAATAACTATGTGAACTACAATGGGTGAACTAATGCTTTAAGATCATATTCAAATGAGTTAATTATACTAATTATATTATGACGCGCCAGGCAAATCAAAGGAAATCACACTGCGACATGCAGCAAACCACATTTTTTAAAATCTACATGATTTATGTTAAAGCTTGCCCAGTTGAAATCCCATCTCTACAATAAACACCACACCACAGCAATTCTCTGGAATTTTTCTCTGAACGTTTGTCCTTTTTTACTTCAAAGAATTGCTTTGGTTGAAGGTTTATTTTCTCTAAGTCAAGAAATCAGCCATTGGATAGTTTTCCTCCACCAAAAGCCAAAAAAAACTAAAATCATAACAAAAAGCCCTGTAAATCTGAACCATTTCCTGATCGTAATAAATCATTTTCAATAAAAAAAACAAGCACATCCCAACCACAACACATAAGCTGAACCTTTGAAATCTGCCTCTGGATTTGGAAGGTGTATATAAATGCATTTAATATTTTGGCAGTAGTACTGCAATTTTTGTCTCCCAGACAGGAAATGCCCACTGAGAAAGCAGGAAGGGACTAAAGAAATCCCCATTTCAGACAGCAGCCAAGAATGTGGGCTGTCCACAGGGAATTCTTAGCTAGTCCATGCAGAAACTGTCCCGTACTGATTTAGATCTGGCTCTCTGAAAAACCCCAGAATAAAAGACCAGCTTCTACAGTGGGAGCTCATGGGAACTGTACAGAGGCAACAGATTTCAGAGGACATGTCACAAACACACGGCTCACTTTACCTGATTCCCAAGGAAGAACTATAAAAAGTCCGGTGCACATGGAGGAGGAATAAAACAAGAGGAAAGAAAAGAAAAAAAGAATGAAATAACAGATACAGACATAAACACATTAACCTTTTATGCTGGTATAATGATTCACTTCCTTTTAACTATTCCTAAAGACAGCATACAATGGAGGAAATGTCCACGGGGAGCGTGGCGATTTGTTGCTATAAGCAGGGTAGAGTGCTTGTGAATGGTTGCTTGAAAACAAACACAATGAGGACACCACAGAAGGTGAAGTAGTAAAGAGACAGACAAAGACAGACAAACATCAGGATGTGGAGTTAGCATCGTGGATCTGTAGCCTGTGCAATGCAACAAGTTAGTAAACGGTCTTGTCAAAGATCATTAACCAATGGATAATGATGCTGAGGTATGAAAGACCACTCAGTGATCTTGATTGCAGCAGCCACGTCTCATGGGTTGATCGTTAGTTGGGTGTGAAGTATTATGGTGGTATTGCGTACACACACAAAACTGCCAAGGCACCTTTGTTTCAAAATGACCAAGTCATACTGATGTAACTGAAAGAATGTGATGCTGGTTAGAGTCATAATATTACAATGGCAAGCTCAGGGATGATCTGAATGAGAAGGTGTGGTGAGACAAAGCAGCTCATTTATACACTTTTATAAATGTCATATTAAATGCATTAAAACTTCTAGACTTGAATTCATGCTTGATTATTACTGTTGGGCTCCAGATTCTCACCCTGTACTTGTTCTCTCCAATCTGCTCCACCTGAAACCTCTTGGCACACTTGCACTGGGCCACTTGTCTGGTGACCTGAGATAAAAAAAAAAAAAGTGGATTTAATTCAGCTTAAACATATGAAAAGTACATTATCATGCCAAATCTACAAAATTCATTGTCCATACCTCATCCTCGATCTTATCAGCGTCTGTTGTGGGTCTGTAAGCATCTTTGTTGGGGTGCAAAGCAGCCACAAATTCATAATAGTCGATGTAGCCATCACAATCACGGTCAAAGATATCAGCAACAGCTGTCATCTCCAGCTTGCTGGTAGGGAACTCTGCAAACAAAATGCATAGTTAAAGTGGCATTTAAAAAAGGTACATGAAAACTAAGATCAGCAGGCAAGTCAATGAGGCCGTACTTGATGCCAAAATGCCATCGATAAACTCCTGGCGGGTGATCTTTCCATCCTGGTCCTTGTCGATGCGTCGGAAGAAGTCCATGACTCGAGACTTTTTGTGGTTCATCCAGCGCATGTATTTCTTCCTCCACACATCAAAGTCAAAGTTGGCAAATTCTTTAAGCTGATGGTGGAGAAAGGTCATTATTACTTCTACTGTTCAGATTTCGTGAGTTTGATATCACTTTACTACTAGTACACAAAGATGCAATACCTCCTCTAGTCTGTCGAGTGCATCATTCAGCTTGCGCTGGCGATCGAGGGCGAGCAGCCACACTTGTTGCCAGCGGGAGCAGAGCTGAGTGAGGCGAGGGTTACCACTGGTTACCTGTACTGAGTGCTGCTGTTGCTGCTGCTGCTGGTGTTTTCCTGTAAGGAGAGCACAGAAAATATGTTCAGAATAGCACACTACTTTACTAATTAAATTCTGAGGTATGCATACTATGCACAGCATACACATTTATTGTACATATGCACAGTGCTTGATTTGACCTTCAATTTCTATTTTTCTATGTTGTATCCTTTATAATTGCTTCATCTCTTTATCATCCTATTTTTAAAACATAATAGGGAGTATACAATATACACTGCACACAGTATTAAGCAGTGAGCAGTTACTGAAGCTCAAATCTACACTACCACTCAAAATTTGCAATAATTGTAATAATACTTCACAATATTTTACTGTGTTTTTAATCAAAATAATGCTGCCCAGCGTGAGATACTTCTTTTAAAAACATTAAAAAAATACCAAACACCAACCACAAACATTTAAACAGTAGCGTATGTAAAGGTTTTGTGTTTGTATGCAGTATGTGTGC